ATAATAAAAAAATTGAAAAATCAGATAAAAGAAAAAAATATATAAAATACTAAAACGACAGAAAATGAAAAAAAATTAATTGAATTAAATAAAATTATAAATAAAAAAATACAAAAAATATGAAATTTATTTTTTAAGCACTTAAAAAAAGAAAAACTGGTATATTCATATAATTGCTTTTCCGGCTATATTATTAATTTCTTGTTATAAGCATTAGTGCACTAAAGCTAAAGAAATGTGATGAGGAGATGCGGTGATCTCCGAAACAGCTGTCACTTCTACCATATTTTTTTGTTGTATAATAAAAATATTCAATTCATACAAACGAACCAAAAAAAAAAATTTAAAAATTTATAATGAAAAAACTGTTAACTTTCGCTGAACAACATCCTTTTCCAACTAGTAATGCCTATAGACAGAAAAGATATTTTGTCAAGTCCTTTTCTTAAGACAATACAAAGTAGTAGTCTGGCTTTATAACGGCCACTTTTCACATTTTGTGTATTTATTACTACATATTTCGTGATAAATAACTCATAAATATTAAACGCACGCATCAAGAAAGGAAAAAAAGAATTAACTGCAATATAACGAGTTTTATTGAAAAGTTTAATATTGTTTGCGTGCAAACGCATGACAAAAAGGACATTCGTAAATATGGGGAAAAGGGGTATTAAAAACCAACACAGCAAAAGAAATAGGCAGCAACAAGAGCCAAAAGTTCATATCTCAAAAAAAAAAAAAAAAAAAAAAAACAATGAAGGAGTGAGATATTCATAAAAGGCGCTGGCACATAATTGTCCTTTCCATTGTAATTGTACAATGCCGCCCGTCGTTGACATTTCTGTTGACAAATCGACTGAAAATGAAATGAGCAAATGAGTGTACATATTGCAATCGTCTGCTCTTGGTGAATGTATGGACTGCGAAAAGGAGTTTGAGTAGGTCTGTCTGTCAACATACAATAGCCTACACGAGCTAGACAGCTTCAATAGACGCGCGCACGCATTGCTCTTTGCTGCTTTGACATTTTCATTGTGCCACTAGACGACAGCGAGGACAATGTTGCGTGCAATTTTGTATTGCCAAAAAAATTTTCCACGCACCACCAACACCAAGTACCCATTCTCAAATACATATAAAGTGCTCAAAAATATTGTTACTCATTTCAGTTGTGTATATTTTTCGCATTTTCATTATTATTTTGATATTCTTTGTTATTTTTTATTTTCCTGCTGCTGCATAGTTTTGCGTGCGTGAATTGCGTGCAATATTTTTTATTTTTCCCTTCCGTTTTTTGTTTCTTGCTTACTATTTTTATGATGCCGCTTCCATCATATTTATTGTGAAAGAAAGTTCTTTCACTTTAAGTGTTTTGGTAGTTTATACGTTATAAAATCATGTGCAAATGATGATGATAATAGTACGTACTGTGCGCATAGCAATAAACGTAATGTAGTGTTGTGGAGTGTAGGAGGAAATCGTAGAAATCCTTGTTGGAAATACAATGGTGTTATAAATAATAATTAGCTCTTTCTAAAAAAGTAGTAGATAGCAAAAAAAAAGCAAAAAATTAAATAGACAAGATGATGATGTTATTTACACAAAAAATTAATAAAAAAAAATTAGTAAAAATAATAGCATACCGTTTTAGAAATAGTGGTAATAGAGTAATAGAAGTTGTAGTAGAAAGTAGTAGAAATAGTAGTGAAAAGAGTAGCAGGAATAGTACTTTATAATATAAATGTAAAATTAGTAACACAAACATTTTAGTTTCATATGTTTTATTAATACCAAAATTAGTAGTAAAAAATAGTAGTATTACTAGAGTTAAAAATGCTGAAAGTTTGTGAAGTAGTTTCAATAAAGTTGGTTTCTTTGGTAGTAGTAAAAGCCACTATAATTTTACTGCCAAAAATAATAGTAGTAGCTTTGCGTTTGTGTAGTGAAACGCTATGCACTGAAATACCCACAGCTGCTGTGGTAATAAATTCTCTTTGCTATCACATTTTCATTACACGTGTGTGCAAGTCGACTTATTTATGGGGTCACGTGTAATCTCTTACGATCTTTGTGTGGTGTTTGATAGTCATCGTTAGTGAATTTTAAAGCTTATTCGCACTATATAAAGGCATAAACACTTGTAAGTGTGTGGTTTGGAAGACATCAATACGAAATATTATTTTTAAGCTACTATTTTTTTTTTTGAAAGAGGCATTGTCGTAAGCGATGTTGCATGATAGAAACGAAGCTTCATGCCCTTTAAACCATATTTCATTTTATTTCAGTTGCATGCGAATAAGAGACAGCAATTGGTATGTTTTTTTGTTTTTGTTTAGCCGCTGAAGCCGAGTGGTTAGCATTGCGTACATCTATTCGAAAGTCCAAGGCTCGTATCCTGGTTCGACCATCATCCAAAAGTAATCGAAAATTAATTTCAATAAAAAATTAAGCTAAATTTTTTAATTGCAATTGCCCATCGGCAGGGAATGTCAATTCCTCCGAAGGTATTTTTGACATGAAATACAGCTCCTCATAAAAAAAAGACCATCAGCCGTTCGGAGGCGGTTTAGTATAAACTGTAGGTCTGCTTATTTCTTGGAAAACAATCAAGACGCATACCACAAATTGGAGGATAAGCCGCAAATCGTTTTGGCGGTTACAATGCGCCAACTATATATATTTATTAATTATTTAATTTTATTTTTTTTTTTCATAATTTTGTAAATTTAATCTTATTTATATTATTTTCCTTCAATGTTTAATTAAATAAATATCTGTTTTATTTCTGTAAATCATATTCTTTTACTTTGTGTTTTATTAAATTAATTTGATTCTGTTTTTATGTATTTTTCATTTAGTTTTATTTCTCCTAGTTGTATTTTCTTTAATATATATATTTTATATTTTATTTAAAACTTTTAATTTAATTTTTATGTTTCACTTCATTTAATTTTTTTTAGTTAAATTTTTTAATATTTTTCGTCTTTTTTTTAGATATCTCAGTTGTTTCTACATAGTATTTTTTTTTTTGTTTGGCTAGCAATTTTTTTATCTGATATTTTTTATTTGTATATTGTTTTGTTTTTATTTTATGTTGTTTTCAATTTTAGTTCATTTTAATTTATTAAAGGTTGTAAATTGTTTTATTTTATTTAATAAATTTTTTATTGTATTACCTAAATTTGGATCTTATTGTTTAGCTTGTTTTATTGTGTTTCATTTCCTTTTGCCTAATTTTTTTCATTACTATTTAATCCACATTTGTTTTAATTAAATTTAGTTATAAATTTAACGTCTTTTTGCTTTTCCTAATTTTTATTACATTATATATTTTCTTTTAATTTCATTTCATTTTGTTTTGATTTGCTTAAATACATTTACTTAACATTGTATGTCCAATTAACAACAACACAAACAAATTTTAAGAACACACCGCAACATAAAGATCTTTACCAATATACCTATTAGTTAGTCACCAACCCCGCTCCTCATCTTTTTCATTTCGCCCTTACAACTCACTGCATTGTTTTTGAAAATAAATAACCTCATTTCCTGCTACTTTGCAATTTTTTTGATTACTTCAATGTACGTCTTCTTTACTTTCATGTAAACCCACTTTCTTTCACCATCCCAACTCAACTCCCAAAATGATTTTCCAGTCTTTCATATTTTACTGTATATTTCCTGTTTTTGAAGATTAACTACAACAATCGCTATAAATTGTACAACATTATTTATGATGCGCACAAATAAGTTACATATTTCTCGCTATAACAGCAGACAAGTCAACTTTTTTATTGATACAAAATGAGATCATAAATAAAAGGACAGATGAGTAAAATGTAGGAAGAGAGAAAGGCGGGGCAGCAGATTGGGCCTCATACTGGTGGCCAGTAAGTTGGATATAGTAGCAGGGCACCAACGCGTGGTAATAAGTGGCGCGACAAAATGTTGCCAATGTAGCAGCATATACAAAATATGTAGTGCTGGTGGTGGCGGCCACAGCTACAACAAGTTGTAGTAACTAAGAAAATATTATTAAGTACAGCGAGAGCCCCCCTCCCATTTTTCAGTCACCAGAAGATCGTTAAATATAATGAGAAAGCATTAATTTATTAATTTCCTGAAAATATTGCCTTAATATAATAAGCACATACAAACATATAAACAATTGAAATTCGAGAAATGAACCCAGTATAGATAAATGCTGGTAATAGAAAAAATCTGCTCTCTCTTCCAATGATTTTTTCTTTCCCTATTACATTGTTTTAAAAAATTTATTTTGTAGGATATGAAGCTCGACGCTCTATTGTTATAAATATAAAATGCATCTAATATAAGATTTATATTATTTTAATTAGTTTTTAATCTGAATTTATTCGGATTCCTTTATTTCTTTATATATTATATTTGTTTTTAATGAGCTACTTCTACTTGCCCTTCTACAAGTCATATGTTTGAATGAGTTATGTGGCTGGAAGTGGAATCAGAATGTCGTATAAATTCCTATGTTATGTAGAACGGAAATAAATTAGAGATCGAACGAAATTCACCGAGTATTCAAATTCAGAATTTGTTCTTTACACTATACTTTACTTTAAGAATCCTTTTGCTGAAGAAGAAGTATTGATGGAGTATGTATTCCCTTCCAACTGCCAGTGCAGCTAATTATAGAAACTTTACAATCTAACAAAAATTATTTGTTTTATTTTGAATTGAATTTTTTTACCAATAAAATTAATCAAAACATACCTTTATTGTTTTGTTTATTTTATAGATATTTAACTTTTTTTTATATTTTATTTACTTTTCATTTTAATTATTTGTTTCCAGATAATTTGATTTTCACTCTCCGCTAGCGAACTAACTATATAACAACTAGTATTTTCTGCAAATAAATTACATGAACTACTTCCATTTCAATGAATTTTCTTTTACGCATCAAACTCATTTCTTCATTATTCATTATTTAATTTCCTTTCCTTCTCTTCACACAGGGGTCAACATGGGCTACATTGAGAACAATTACTCGAATTCAAACAATGGCGGTAGCGTTAATTCACAAGATTCGCTGTGGCAAGTGAAAATGCCTGCCACTGCGGGCGCTCAACAGAGTATGGTCGTACCGTCGACCCACAACAACTATGTTGAACATCAGCCCACCTATGGTTATGATCCACTAACGCATGGCGGTTACGGTGCGGTCGACGATTATGCACCCTATCCACATTTGACGGCGACGCCAAGTCAACATGGTGATGAATATCATAATTTACGCAATAGCCAAAATCCATCCAGACAGGATTACTGCAGTGATCCATATGCCTCGGTACAGAAGCCGAAGAAACGTGTTGATCAACATTTAGGTAAGTGTTTTTAGGTTAAACGTGTGTTATGTTGTGTGTGTTATATAATATTTCATACTGCTTACGGTGGTGGTGTTGCTAAGTGACATGATAATTCATGATGCTATTACTCCTATTGATGATGTATTATTGCTTATTATCTATGGCTTTATGGCAAAAATAAGTTATATATCTGTAAGTATCTATTCAGTAGAAATATGAAATAAGAGAGATGTACATATGTATGTAATGTAAGCATTATCCTGCCAGGCATTAGTTTGTAGAGAAAATCCATTTGCCAGTTGCTAAGTGCTGGTAAATACATACATACATATGCTTTCGGTAGTTAATTTATATTTGGAATTGACACCTGAATGGAATGCTTCGTATGTATGGCGGAAATCGTTGCCAAGTATACGAAAATATGTTTGTGTAGAATGTGCTTTCACATCAACGGTAAAAAAATATAAGAAAATATCCGAAAATTTATTGCATAACAACAATGTTGGACAGAAAACCTTCTGTTATTGTTGAATAAAATTCGTAAAATGTAAATTTTTTTCTTTTTGAAGAAATAGATTCAAAAAGGGGAATTTTGTTTTTGAGATTAAAAAACGAAAAGTAATAACCGCCGCAATACCTTAAGAATAGCAATTTAAGTTTTCAATTTTGTCTACAATTTCATAAAAATTTTAAGTGATTGGGCTGAGGACTACATATCTATAAATAATGAAATATTCAGAGCGTCGGGCATTTAAATCGAATATTTAAGAAATTTGTCGATAAAACGTGAACTTATACTTTAAGATAAAGATAAAGATTGTAGTAAGTTTAAGGGGCTCAACTAGTGTGACAGAAAAAATTTGTATTTAAATTTGCATATAACAAAGATATTCTTACAAGCTTTATTTTTATGAAAAGCTATCATTTTCTTTGCATTCTCGAAGAGAATTTTATTGTCCTCCTGCCTGCCTTCAGGTTACCTAAAATGAAAACAGCCAAAAACAGGCGTTAAAGAGGAGAGGTATAAACTATAAAATAACCCGCACTTGAGGTAAAAAAATGTAAAAATTTTCGTTGTCTTGAAGACATTTTAAAATTTAGCTTAAAGAATTTACGGTATCCTCCATGCCAAATTTACAATTTATATAAGTATATATGTGTTTTTTTTTACTTTCACTTAGTCTCTTAGCTTATAATAGATCTAAATGTCATACACCTTTTGACTTACTCTTTATAAAAATATACAAATTAATATTTTATGCTAAAGCATATTTCGAACCATTTCAACAGTGAAAAGCTGTCATTTAATTTATTTATCTAATGAACTTAATTCATATTATAAAATAATTTTGTCAATATTTTGCACTCTGAAACAAAATTCTTTCACTTTCGGTTCAGCTTATCATCAAAAAATTAAAAAATATAATTTTCCTGCCCAAAAACACTGTTAATCCACATATGGTATATTCACGAATTTGAGTCCACTTTGCTACAATAGTTTTTCATATAAAATTAGTGTACACTATTTGTTACTAATCAGTGTCATCAACTGACTGCCTTATAAATTATGTTAATTAAGTAATACCAACAACAAAAGACATTTAGAAATAGATGAATAGTAAAATTGAGACAGCAAAATCTATTAAGTGACCATCGTTAATAAATACTTGCATATGCATTTATGCATACAAACATAAAATATGTCAAAATTATCGAAAATTAATCATATTTATAAATAAGGTTGTAGAGAAGTTCTCAGCGCAAATATGTAATAACCAATTTCAAAAGAGCATGAAAATAATTAATTATTCATTACATAATATTAAATTGCTATAATGCCGAGATTCAAATTAAATTATAGAATATTAAGCTGTAGATAATATTGCTTATGATAAATTTGACTAAAGGATTGAGTATTGAAATTTACCCTCAATCATGTTGAGGCTGTCATTTGAGCGGAAATATCGCTTAATATACAATACATATACCAGTCAAGCGTTCAGCAATTATTTTTTAATATTATTTGCTATTTAAAAAAATTAAATTTATGCATAAAATTTAAAATATCCTATTTAATTGCACAGCGCCGTGTGACCTTAATTCTCATCCACATGTCAGAGTACAACATTCGCGCATGTAAAATTGTCATTTGAAAAATTAATACAAAAAAAAACATAAATAAATAAATTTATAAAAAAAAAAATAACACAGTATGCATAACGGTACAATTTTAATATATGTATGTATGCATGCAGCTACAGAGCAATAAGTCAGTTTTTAATTAACAATTTTGCATAATGAACTCGCACAGACCCTTAAGCGAGCCTCCAATTGCAGCTGGGTTGTAGTAAATATACATGTGTATATATAAATGTAGGGATAACCTGTGTGGCAAGCAAATAAAAAGAGCAAATCATGAAAATTCAAAAAATGACACTTAATAATAAGAATATGCACATGTTTGATTTAAAACAAAAACAAAAAATCATTTAAAACAACTGTCAATTGAAAATTAAAAAACAAAAAATGTGTATGTTTTTGAAGCGCAAAAACACCTGCGAAAACACTTCGAAATTCTGCAGATAACACGAACATTATTAACGGCTTATGTGACAAGCACTTGCTACAGACTCGCGCCGAACTCCAGCTCTCTCCCCCTTATCCGCACATTAAATGCGATTTTGAGGCAATAAATTAAACTTTTTAAATATAAAAAATGTTAAAATAATATTTTCATCATTGCGCATTTTGAAATGTTCTTATGTGTATGTATGTATGTATGTATGTGATTTATTTATTTTACCATTTTTTTTTATTTTTGAATACTTATACGCATACATATTTTTGCATAAAATTATTGCAGTTGCTTGCACTTGTATACGCACATAGTTAATGTGCTATATACATAAATCGTTTATTATAAATACATATAAAATGTACCAACATAATTACTCGATTGACCATAAATATTGCAGTCTAATTATATGCAATCTGTAGTTTTCACATTGTCATGTCAACTCAATGCCAAACACGGGGTGAAAGCTGAAATGAAATTTGCAAAAAAAAATTAAATAAAATGCTTTTATTATTTGAACATAAATTTCAACGTGACAAATTCGACACGATTTACATTTAATGAAAATAATTTGTTGGTGGTAAAAGTATATAATTAAAAATTGCTTTCTTATTTATGCAAAAAAAGTGTATAAAAGGATTTGAAAACTTCATTTTAAAAAAGTGTGTAGCGACTTTAATTAAATTCCGTACATGATTTATTAACATTGAGTATTTATCAATTGTTTAAACAGTACTTTACTAATAAGCATTATAATGCTTTATCTTTTGCGACTAAAACTTGCTAAAAAAATTTCATTTTTTTTAAGGACGTGCTATTACGATAAAATAAAATTAAATACAGTAAAACAAATAAAATTTGTATTTAAATTTAAATTGTTGAAAATAAAAAACTAAGTAAATTAAAGATAAATAATATAAAATAAAATACAATAAAAAATAAATAAAATAAAATGATAAATTTAATATAAATTCTTAAAACAAAAATTAAATAAAATAAGAGTAGTAATATAGTAAAAGAAAATAAAATGAAATGAAAGAAAATTACGATAAATAAAATTAAATTAATTGAAATAATTTAAAATTAATTATTTTTAAGCTAAAATAAATTTAAATAAAATTACAGTAAATTAAAAAACTTAAATAAAATTAATTAATAAATACATTGAAGCCTTAAAAATCTAATGTTATAAAATAATATATATAAAGACAACGTACAATATAATAGAAATATTAAAATTAAATTAAATATACTTAGATAAAAATGAAATCAAACAAAATTAAAGCAATTAAAAAGTGAACGTTAAAAAATGGTACAAATAAAATATGATGAATTAAAGCAAAATAAAATACAAAAAAAAATAAAAAATAAAAAAAATATAAAAATAAAAAAATAAAAAGGCAAAAAAAAACTGGATTTAATTAATTAAAAAATATAAGCAAAACCAATGAAATTAAGAAAGAAAAATCAAATACCATTAAGTTAAAAAAAAATTCTTAAAACTGAATTAATATACAGTAAAATAAGTTTAAATACACTAAATTTAATTGAAATAAAAACAAGCAAACAAAAAATATGAGTATGAAATATTTAATAAAATAAAATATAATATAAATAATTTTCATTTTGTACTTAGAGTTAAACTTACTTTAAAAAAAATTTAATTGAAACAAAAATATTAAATTAACGAATTTAAATAAAATTAAGGTAAATAATTAGAAATAAAATGAAATTAAATTAAATAAATTGAGATTGTTAAACTGAATAAAACTGTAGGAACGAAGGAAAATAGAAAAAACAAAGGAATTGATTTCATTCAAAAACAAACACAATAAAGTTAACAAAATACAATAAATTAAACACATACAAAATTATGATAAAATAAAATAAAAAAGTTATTTAGAATATACAATAATAAGATGTAAATAGTTATAATCAGGTAATTAAAAAAAGCAAAATTTGAATATAGTAAAATACCTAAATTAAAATTGAAACGAAGATTAAAATTTAATTTGAAAAATAAATTCAAATTCGATTTAAAAACAAAATTGTAAATTAGACTTGAACTTAAATCAAAACTGAATTCGCTAAAAAAATAACGGCTAGAAAAAAATTTACCTATTCTGTCGAGGTAACAAAATTTACTAAGGTATTAAAATTTACCCTGCAAATTTTGTTACCAGCGAAATAGGAGGCAAAAAACAATCATCTGCTCGATTTTGTGTTGCTAGTTTGTGAAAAAAAAAAAAAAATAGCAAACCAAAATGGGTAGGCATATTTTAGGTCTGGAATTCATTGAAAATGAAAAAAAAGTGCAAAAAGTTGCTTGTTAAGAAGTTTGAGAGAAAAAAATTATCCTTTTATTTTTGAAGATAGCGTTTTCATTCAGCTTTTTTTAAACTATTGTATTAAATTAAAAATAAAAATTAAAAATTTTGACGAA